GTTGGTTAAGCGACTGCCTTCGGCTCAGGTCATGATCCTGGAGTCCCTGGATCGAGTCCGGCGTCGGGCTCCCTGCTCGGCGGGGAGCCTGCTTCTCCCTCTAACCCTCCCCCCTCTCATGTACTCTCTCTCTCTCATTCTCGCTCTCTCAAATAAATAAATAAATCTTTTAAAAAAAAAGATTAAGAGATGTATTTTGGGGGCGCCTGGGTGACTCTGTAGAGTATGTGACTCTTGATCTCGGGGTTGTAAATTCGAGCCCCACGTTGGGTGTAGAGATGACTTAAAAATGAAATCTTAAAGGGCGCCTGGGTGGCTCAGTTGGTTAAGCGACTGCCTTCGGCTCAGGTCATGATCCTGGAGTCCCGGGATCGAGTCCCACGTCGGGCTCCCTGCTTGGCAGGGAGTCTGCTTCTCCCTCTGATCCTCCCCCCTCTCATGCTCTCTCTCTCTGTCTCATTCTCTCTCTCAAATAAATAAATAAAAATCTTAAAAAAAAAAATCTTAAAAAAAGAAAAAAAATATTTCGAATACCATTACATATTAGTGCATAGAGCTTTCCTATAGCTGCTTAGTATTACACGGACGATGTGTTACACTTTATCTAATCAGTGTCCTATGCTGAACATTTAGTTCTGTTGCTGTTACAACAATGCAGAGATGAATAACTTTGTACAGGTATTATTTTGCATCTTTGTGAGCATATCTGTGGGATAAACTTATAGAAATGAAATTATACAGTAAAAATACAAGGGTATTGCATTTTTTTTTAAGATTTGAGGTCATCTCTATACCCAGCGTGGGGCTCGAGTTTACAACCCTGAGATCGAGAGTCGCAGGCTCCACCGACTGAGCCAGCCAGTTGCCCTGCTGCATTTTGATAGATAGTGCCCAATTGTCTTCCAAAGAGGTTATACTCCATCCAGCCATGTGTCAGATTCTCTGGCAAATTTTGGAGTCTTGACAGAATTGACTAGATATCTACGATGTTTGCTTTCATCCCATACTCCTTCCCAGATATTAAAGGGATCTAGAGCAACTTCTCCCTCAGAAATTTGCATTGTTGGATAAACTACCTTATTAGGTGCTTTCTAATTTATAACAGCCAAAAGTCAGCAACATGTACTTTCGATGTATTTTTCTTCCCATGGTAATTTTTATTTTATTTGTATTTTTTCCTCATGGTAATTTTAAAAACCAGAAATCATTAGTAAACCCCCCCCAATAGTAAAACCTCAGGCATCTCATCTATTACAATTTGACCCTGAATCTTTGTCTCTAGTCATACCATCAGCTCCCCAAGGTTTCTTCCAGATAGTTCCAAGGTACGCTGCATATTACTTCATTGGGGCAGGTGGCGGTGAATCTAGATTAGAACCTGGCTTGTGCCTATTTTCCTGGGCTCACAGGATCTTATCTGACCAAGCTACTGGCTCACCCTTGAACTATCCATGTCCCATGGCTTCTGTCTATTCCCTTAGAATTCCACACACAGTACAGTTCTGCGCACAGTAAGCAGGGAAGAGATGGATGGCCGCAAATAAAGAGGTTACTTCAAAACTTCTCTATAGGTTACGAATTTCTGATTCTATTTTCTTCCCCTCTATTGGAAACTGCTATTATATCTCCCCACACACACCCTAAAAGAAGAATATTCTTGATCAGAACCCTTCCTGAGGAATCCAGAGAACAAGGTGTATACAACCAAAATGCCTGGAGGGACAGCAGTATCTCTCGCTTGCAGTGAGAATGAAACGTATGTTTCCTTGGCTGTAATGGAGTCTGTAGCATATGATAGCTGTGTGCTTGGACAGCATGGGGGGTGGCCATAAAGTCTGAAAACAGATACTATTATTTTATCATGTATTGACACACGATCTCAAACCATGAATATGTATTCTTTTATGTTCCCGGGTTTCTTGGCAACCCTGAAATCTAGTACAGCTATCGATGAGAGTTCAGGGAGAGTATATGAGAAGTAGTCATTGTCAGGTACAGATGTTAACTAGGACTAGACGGATTTTGCCTCAGGTTAGCTGCTGGAGGAGAGCAAGAAGAGGGGGGTTAAGAGAGTTCTAGACTGGGGCACCTGGCTGGCTCAGTGGGTAGGGCATGGGACTCTTGCCCTAGGGGTTGTGAGTTCAAGCCCCAAGTTGAGCATAGAGCCCACTTAAAAAAAAAAAAAAAAAAACACCATAGAAAGTACTCAGCAAGACATTTAAAAAAGAGATAGAGATTCCTAGATTGGTTTGATGTTTCTCCATATTAGGAGTCTTTCAAACATACTGCTGACACCAGACGTGGGGTGGGGGGTCCCACACCGAGCAGTTCGGTGACTCCAGCTGGGCGGCCTACAATGTAACTCTGTTCCAACACAGTCCACCTAGAGATGGTATCAGGTCCCTGAGGTGAGGGCTCAGTCCCACAAGACCGACCCTTCCTCTACCCCCGCCCCAGTTCAGGTGTCAGCTGCCAAGTCCAGATTGTCACCTGGGCTTCTGCCTGATGGCTGTAAGGGAGAGGTTCTCATGACCATCTCCTGGAGTTTAACTAATTTGCTAGAGTGGCTCACAGAACTCAGGAAAACTGTCCGTACTGTTTCCCAGCTTATTATAAATGGATGTGATTAAGGCTACAGAGGAACACCCAGAGGAAAGAGATGCTTTGGGCAAGGTATGTGGGCTGGGGTGTGGTGCTTGCACGCCCTCTCCAGGCATGCCCCTCACCCCGCTCCTTCTCATGTTCACCCACCGGGAAGCCCTCCAAACCCTGTACTATTGGGGTTTTTAGGGAGCCTGCATCACCTAGGCATGATCAATCACTAACTCCATTTCCAGCCCCTCCTCCCTCTCCGGAGAATTGGGGTGGGGCTGAAAATTCTAGGCTTCTAATCAGGTCTCTGGTCTTTCTGGTGACCGGCCCCCATCCAGGAGCCCCCACAGAGTTGCCTCAGAACAAAGACTCTCCTATTACCCAGGAAATTCCAAGGGATTTAAGAGCTCTGTGTAAGGAACTAGGGTCAGAGACCAAATACCAGAGCAAAAGATCCTCCTAGCGCTCTTATCACTTAGAAATTATAGGGGTTTTAGGAGCTCCACCAGGAGCAGGGATGGGAGGGGCAAAGACCAATATAGATATTCTCATGTGGTCACGTAGACAATAGCCAAAAAGAGAGAGAACTTAGGTATTGTATAAAAGTTTTAGGATAGGGTGCCTATGGTTGAGCGTCTGCCTTCGGCTCAGGTCTTGATCCCAGGGTCCTGGGATTGAGTCCTGCATCGGGCTGCTCCTTGGGAGCCTGCTTCTCCCTCTGCCTCTCTCTCTCTCTCATGAATAAATAAATAAAACCTTTTTTAAAAAAGTTTTAGGATAAAGGTAACCATTAGAATAAAAATACAAACTCTTCCTAAATGCCAGAAGGTATGTTAAAAAAAGGGAGGTGAGGGGAGAGGAGAGGAGGAAGCAAATGAAATAGATCACACGGTGAAAGACTTAAATATATAAAAATATAACATAGGGGCGCCTGGGTGGCTCAGTCGGTTAAGCATCTGACTGGCTCAGGTCACAATCTCGGGGTCCTCGGATGGAGCCCTATGTCAGGCTCCCTGCTCCGTGTGCAGTCTGCTTCTCCCTCTGCCCCTACCCGCACTCATTCTCTTTCTTTCTCTCAAATAAAATCTTTATATATATAAAACAGGCAGATCAGAGGTCAAACATATTGATCACATCAATAAATATATTAAGGAGTCTACCACGTGCCTGTTAAAGAAAATGATTTTCACATCGACTGACAAAGCAAAACCCAGCACTGTGCTGTGTAAATGAAACACATCTGAAATGAGGAGACTCGGGAAGGCTAAAAATAAATGACTGAAACAAAAATGTACCAGAGGTATTTTTTGGTTTTGTTTTTGTCTTTTTAACTGAAGCAGGGATTGCAGTTGTAATTATCCAAGAAAGGAGAATTCTGAGTAAAAAGTTTTACGAGATAAACTGTTACTGCAATTTGAAAAAAGAAGAGAATTTCGCTTAACACAGGGAGAAATAGAAGCACATCAGTCATTGGAGACTGTAACAGATCTCTCAGATCTAGAAAGATGAAGTGAACACGAAATTAGTAAGGGCATAGAAAACCTAAACCATGTAATAAATAAGATAGATTTAATGTGTTTTAAACTCTGAACCTTGATAATAGAGAATACGCTTTTTTTCCCAAATGCATTTTTTTTTAAGATTTTATTATTTATTTGAGAGAGAGACAGACAGAGATAGTGAGAGAAAGCACGAGCAGGGAGGAGAGGGAGAGGCAGGCTCCCAGCCAAGCAGGGAGCCCGACGCGGGGCTCGATCCCAGGACCCTGGGACCATGACCCGAGCTGAAGGTAGACGAAGGCAGACACTTAACCGACTGAGCCACCCAGGCACCGCCCAAATGCATTTTAAAGTATTCAAAATATCACAAGAATGTAGCACATTCACATCTTAGACCTCAAAGAAAATTTCAGTAAATTCCAAGGGGAAAAAATAATAAAACAAATAGTATGCTCTGGCCACAATGTAATATAACTAGGTATTAACAACAACAAACCAAAAAGGCTCTTCTAACAGGAAATGTAAAAAACATGCTATTAAACCACTCTTGGGTCAAAGGGGAAATGCAACACAAGTTGTAGAATTTTTTGAACATAGTAATAATGGGGGTGCCGGGGTGGCTCAGTTGGTTAAGCATCTGCCTTGGGCTCAGGTCATGGTCCCCGGGTCCTGGGACCATGGGATTGAGCCCGGCATCAGGCTCCTTGCTCAGCAGGGAGCCTGCTTCTCCCTCTCCCTCTGCCTGCCGCTCTGCCTACTTGTGCTCCCTCTCTCTCTGTCAGATAAATAAATAAAATCTTAAAAAAAAACCTCATTCATTAAAAAAAAAAGAAAATAGTGATAATGAAAACCAGAATCTATGAGAAATAGTTAAAACAGCTATCAGAGAAATATTTATGATACAGATACCTATATGAGGGGCGCCTGGGTGGCTCAGTCGTTAAGCGGCTGCCTTGGGCTCAGGTCTTGATCCCAGGGTCCTGGGATGAGTCCTGCATCGGGCTCCCTGCTCAGCAGGAAGCCTGCTTGTCCTTCTTCCGCTCCCCCTGCTTGTGTTCCCTCTCTCGCTGTGTCTCTCTCTGTCAAATAAATAAATAAAATCTTTAAAAAAAAAAAACCTACATGAATTAAAGTAAAAATGAATGAACATTACAACTCAAGAAACTAGAAAAAAAAAAAGGTAAACCAATGACAGCAGAAGGAAGGAATAAGTAAAAAGAAAGGCAGAGATTAATGGGTTTGAAAACAACAGCAACAAAAAGTAACACTAACAAATCCCAGCCAGTCTGTTTGAAAACATAAAATTAACTTCTTAGCTAAACTACTCAAAAATAAAAGGGGGGAGACAGCACAAATCCATGAAATTAGAAATGAAGAGACATAGGAGGGGAAATTTTAAAAATATTCTATGTAAATATATTTGAAAATCTACATTAAGTGGATAATTTTGTAGAAAAATCCAATTTAGGGGCGCCTGAGTGGCTCAGTTGGTTAGGCGTCTGCCTTCGGCTCGGGTCATGATCCTAGGGTCCTGGGATTGAGCCCCGCATCCGGCTCCCTGCTCCGCGGGAAGCCTGCTTCTCCCTCTCCCACTCACCCCCTTTGTGTTCCCTCTCTCACTGTCTCTCTCTCTCTCTGTCAAATAAATAAATAAAATCTTTAAAAAAAAAAAAATCCAGGGGCGCCTGGGTGGCTCAGTTGGTTAAGCGACTGCCTTTGGCTCAGGTCATGATCCTGGAGTCCCGAGATCGAGTCCCGCATCGGGCTCCCTGCTCGGCAGGGAGTCTGCTTCCCCCTCTGACCCTCCTCCCTTTCATGCTCTCTGTCTCTCATTCTCTCTCTCAAATAAATAAATAAAATCTTTAAAAAAAAAAAATCCAATTTAACACAATTGACCCCTGTGGAGACAGAAAGTCTAAACGACCATTTAACATAAAATTAAACTAGTTAGAGTTCCTACAAAACAAAACAGGCTCAGACAGTTTCACTAGGGGATTCTATCAAACTTTAAAGAAGCCTTCTTAGGGGCGCCTGCATGGCTCAGTCGTTAAGCATCTGCCTTCAGCTCAGGTCATGATCCCAGGGTCCTGGGATCCAGCCCCGAGGTCATGATCTCAGGGTCCTGGGATCCAGCCCTGCATCGAGCCCCACATTGGGCTCCCTGCTCTGAGGGAAGCCTGCTTCCCCTCTCCCGCTCCCCCTGCTTGTGTTCCCTCTCCAGCTGTCTCTCTGTCAAATAAATAAATAAAATCTTAAAAAATAAAATAAAAAAGCCTTCTTAAACTATTCTAGAGCATGGTGAAAGAAGGAAAACTCCCAAATGCGTGTTATGTAGTGAGTTATGAATTCCCAAACCTGAACTTTGGAATCATGACAAAAACTATAATAAAAAAGAACAGGGTAGGACATTTCACTTATTAATATTGATGCAAAAATCTTTTTAAAAAGTTTTATTTATTTAAATAATCTCTACACCCAACATGGGGCTTGAACACATGATCTCAAGATCAAGAGTCACGTGCTCTTCCAACCGAGCCAGCCAGGCTTCCCTATGCAAAAATTTTATATAAAACATTAGCAAGCAGAATCCAACAGCACATTAAAAAAACATTTATCATGACCAAGTGGATAACTCTGTGAATGCAAGAATGGACAGTCAGATTAGGAAACCCATTAATATCTATCATATTAATAGATCCAAAGTGAAACAGAATGTATGATTATCTCCATAGATGCAGACTGACAGATTTTAATACATAATAACAACAAAAGGCAAAGTGAAAAGACAACTGGAAAAAATGTTATAAATTATAGACAATATCACTGATTAAAAAAAAAAAAACTAAAAATACAGAAGAAAAAAACCCTAGGGGCTCCTGGGTGGCTCAGTCGTTAAGCATCTGCCTTTGGCTCAGGTCGTGGTTCCAGAGTCCTGGGATTGAGCCCCGCATCAGGCTCCCTGCTCAGCGGGAAGCCTGCTTCTCCCTCTCCCACTCCCTCTGCTTGTGTTCCCTCTCTGGCTGTGTCTCTCTCTGTCAAATAAATAAATAAAATCTTTAATAAATAAATAAATACATAAATACATAAAATCTTTTTTTTTTTTTAAGATTTTATTTATTTGCAAGAGAGCGAATGAGAGACAGAGAGCATGAGAGGGAGGAGGGTCAGAGGGAGAAGCAGACTCCCTGCCGAGCAGGGAGCCCGATGCGGGACTCCAGGACCATGACCTGAGCCGAAGGCAGTCGCTCAACCAACTGAGCTACCCAGGCGCCCCCATAAAATCTTTTTTAAAAATGCACGTTAAGGGCGCCTGGGTGGCTCAGTTGGTTGGGCGACTGCCTTCAGCTCGGGTCATGGTCCTGGAGTCCCGGGATCGAGTCCCGCATCGGGCTCCCTGCTCGGCAGGGAGTCTGCTTCTCCCTCTGACCCTCCTCCCTCTCATGCTCTCTGTCTCTCATTCTCTGTCTCAAATAAATAAATAAAATCTTTAAAAAAAAAATGCACATTAAAATGACATGGAGATACATATCTCACCCTTGTGATTGGCACACATCTAAAATGTTGATAGCATACTCTGTTGGCCAGGCTGTGAGGAAACAGACACTCTGATATGCTGGGTACGGAAACGCAAACTGGGACAACCTCCACCATAGGAGATTTGGCAATATCTAGCTGGCACATCCAGCAATACCTTTTTATTATGCAATCCTGATATAAGAAGTGGTTGGGGTTAGAAGCCGACGTTCAAGAAAGAATTCTTGAGACGTCTTCTTTTTTTTTTTTTTTTTAAGATTTTATTTATTTATTTATTTGACAGAGAGAGACAGCTAGAGAGGGAACACAAGCAGGGGGAGAGGGACAGGGAGAAGCAGGCTTCCCGCGGAGCAGGGAGCCCAAAACGGGGCTCGATCTCAGGACCCTGGGATCATGACCTGAGCCAAAGGCAGACGCTTAACAACTGAGCCACCCAGGCGCAGAAGGAAGACGTCTTTTGTGCAGAACAGTGGTTTTATTAAAGCACGGGGATGGGACCCGTGGGCAGGAAGAGAAGCACTGGATTCATAAGGAGTGGCCCATTATATACTTTCAAGTTGGGAAGGGATTAGGGATAGCATGTCTCCAAGGAATTTGGGAGCACGGTTCCCAGGACCTTGAGGGGGCTAGCTATTGTTAGGAAAAGGTCATTTATTACTGTCCAATAAAACACTAGTCATGAGACCTTTCAGATGTATTTCGTTGGGTCATATGCTTGGAGAAGGATTAGCAACATGTATCTTGGGGGATAGGGATAAAGGAAGTTTCCAAAGGAATTTTTATTTATTTATTTTTAAAGATTTTCTTTATTCATTTGACAGAGAGAGAGACAGTGAGAGAGGGAACACAAGCAGGGGGAGTGGCAGAGGGAGAAGCAGGCTTCCCTCTGAGGAGGGAGCCCGATGCGGGGCTCGATCCCAGGACCTCGGGATCATGACCTGGCTGAAGGTAGATGCTTAACAACTGAGCCACCCAGGCGCCCCCAAAGGAATTTTTATATGTTAAAGTAGACTTACAGAATCCTAGGGGGTCGGGATAATGTTAAGCTATGATTGCCTTTTGCCCTTAGCAAAGTATTAACATGGAGGCAGCTGAGCTCCTAAAGGAATGTCCCTCTGCCTGTTTCAAGGACTTGTCAATGGGCTGCAAGTAGGAAGGAAATTTTTCTTCTGCTTTTGCTCCCACATCAATCCCACTTTTGGAAATCTATCCCAAAGATACTCCAGCAAAAATATGAAAAGGAATATGTGCTATTAAACACAGAATTATCTGTAAAAGCTGGAACTGTCAATAAGACTGCGGCACCTCCACACAAAGGAGTATTATGCAATTGTAAAGAGCAGTGAGGGGGCGCCCGGCTGGCTCAGTCCCTAGAGCATGTGACTCTTGATCTTGGGGTCTTGAGTTCAAGCCCCACCTTGGACTTAGAGCTGACTTAAAAAAAAAAAAAAAGGAATGAGGAATATGCTACTATGGAATGATCGTCAAGAAATACTTTCAAGTGAATAAAGTGAGGTGTAGGACATGTGCATGTGAATAGTATGCTCTTGTTTATCTAAAAAAGGAGCTGTAAATATATATATATATTTCTAACATAAAAATAATGGAAAAGGGGGCACCTTGGTGGCCCAGTTGGTTAAGTGTCTGCCTTTGGCTCAGGTCATGATCTCAGGGTCCTGGGATCAAGCCCTTCATCAGGCTCCCTGCTCAGTGGAGAGTCTGCATCTCCCTCTCCCTCCTCCCCCCTCCCCCCTGCTCTGTCTCTGTCTCTCAAATAAATAAATAAATAAATAAATAAATAAATAAATAAATAAAAAGATGGAAATATAAAATATAAACAGTATAATTAGGGAGAGGGAAGAATAAGGTGGAAAGGACAGGGATAGAAGACAAACTTTGAATATACCTTGTTTTGCAGAGTTGATTTTAGAACCATGTAAATATTTTAAATAACTATAAAATAAATTTAAAAGTGAAAGCAATTCAATTCCATTAAAAAACATATGAATTCTATTATTTTCAAAACAAAGGTTTTTTTTATTTTTTTATTTTTTAAGATTTTATTTATTTGTCAGAGAGAGAGAGCTCTGCCTGCTGCCCCTCCTCCCCCCCCAGGCAGAGGAAAAAAGTTTTTTTTTTAAAGAGAGAGTTGGCTACAATTCAAAAGCTACATAAATGAGTTAACACCTCTGCTTCCTCTCAGGCTAAGGTCTCATCTTTTCTTTCATGGGATGAAGTCTCCCTCTAGCGGAGGCTAGTTTTAGAACTAGTCCCCGAAACCCTGCACCACAAAGGAAATCTTTTGCTCATTGTCTCCTGCCCCCATCCTTAAATTACATAAGTACTAGAGTCACCAGCAGGAGGATGTGGTAGAAGATTCTGAGCAATGGGAGAGCAAAGAGTCAGGGACAGAGTCAAGCTTTAGAAGGAAGCTGGGGGAATGAGAAACAGGACAGACTCTGAGAGCCTTGAAGACTAGGGGGAGGAATTTCAGCTTCCTATGGGCGGAGCATTCCCACCGCCCGGGGCCAGAGCGAGGTGATTAACATGCTAATGTCACTGTGTCCTCGGGGGAACTAGGCAAGGCATTGCCTTAAGGGAAGCCCTGAGGAGAAGTGGAGGGGACGAATCGGGATTCTCAGGAATCAGCTAAAGTGTGATGGGGATGAATTCCAGGCATCCCTCCCATCCCTCAAGACTCTCTCAGAGCCTCGCTGACGTTGGGGTCGGATGCTGTGGTCCACTGGGTGAAAGTTTGGCCTTCCCCGAGATGGGTCAGGGGAAAAGCCCTGGCACAGCCTCTTCCGTTCCTGGTAGGGTGACCACAACTTGGTCCACACTGAAAGTGGCCTCTGGGGAGAATGATGGCAGGAGGATCCTTGTGTTCTGGCCACTCCAGGTCTCATCTGACTTCACCTACTGGAAATGACTCAGTGGAAAACTCCCTTGGCAGGGAAACCTTTCGAGTGGAGCCTCTTTTTTTTTTTTTTTTTTTTTAAGATTTTATTTATTTATTTGACAGAGAAAGACACAGCGAGAGAGGGAACACAAACGGGGAGTGGGAGAGGGAGAAGCAGACTCCCTGCCGAGCAGGGAGCCCGATGCGGGACTCGATCCCGGGACTCCAGGATCATGACCTGAGCCGAAGGCAGTTGCTTAACCAACTGAGCCACCCAGGCGCCCAAGTGGAGCCTCTTCTAACAGCTAGTCCGGTCTCTAAGAGTATGTGCCATGCTTCCCCATTGCATCACTCTGCAGTCTTACCCTTGGTCAACAATATTTGGGAGTTGCCAATTCAGTGTGTATCTGTAATCCCCTTTACCGTGTTCAGTAAGAATCAAAAAGAAATGAACACTAAAAACGGGCTAGTTTCCTAAGTTCATTTTCTGGTCCTATAAAATCTAACTCCTGAATTCAGCACTCTTTTGCTGTTTTACCCAGCGAGTGGGAGAAGGCCGTCCAGGAAATCGCACTCTGGAGTAATTATTTCCACCAATTCTCACACCTTTCTTTGTCCTGCCTTCACTTCTTCTCTTTAAAAGGTGGATTTCCAGACACACTGAAATTCTGTAGGGAGAACATTGGGCTAACTAGGTGTGGTAACCCTCCCCGGGTGCAAAATGCAACATATTTCTCCAGGAGTCCACGGAGGAGGAAGACAGCTGATGGAGAAAGCCTGTCTCTTTCCCCAAACAGGTTGCTGAAGGGCAGCCCCCAGATCATAATGTTTTCAGACCCTAATTTTTTTTTTAAAGATTTTATTTATTTATTTGACAGAGAGAGACACAGCGAGAGAGGGAACACAAGCAGGGGGAGTGGGAGAGGGAGAAGCAGGCTCCCCGCAGAGCAGGGAGCCTGATGCGGGACTCGATCCCAGGACCCTGGGATCATGACCTGAGCTGAAGGCAGTCGCTTAACCAACTGAGCCACCCAGGCGTCCCCTAATTTTTAATATAAAAAAAGTCTTATGAACTTTATGCAATGGAACATTATTCAGCTTTAAAAAGGCAGGACATTCTGGCATATGCCACAACATGGATGAACCTTGAGGACTTGGTGCTCAGTGAAATAAGCCAGACACAGAAAGACAAGTAGTGAATGATCCCATTTCTTAGGAGTACTTAGTCAAAATCCTGGAGACAGGAAGTAGAATGGTGGTGGTCGGGGTGCTTGGATGGCTCAGTCGGTTAAGTTCCCGACTCTTGATTCCCACTTGGGTCATGATCTCAGGGTCACGAGATGAACTCTGTGCCGGGCTCGTGCTGGATGCAAAGCCTGCTTCGGATTCTTTCTCCCTCTGCCTGCACCCCTCCTCCCCCGTCTATGATGGTTGCCTGGCAGTATGAATGTACTTAATACCTCTGAACTCTACGCTTAAAAAGGGTTCAGACGGTAAGCTTTCTGTTACGTATTTTACCGCAGTAAAAGAATGGAAGAAAAACAAGTAGTGTGCACTGTGCACTTCAGCGGGGACTGCCAAGGAGTATGGGGCGGCCGGTACCGGAGACCGACGCGGCCGAGGCGCTCTCGCCTCCCGCTCCCCGGCGCCCGCAGGACCCCTGGGTCCAGAGCTGCTGCCTTCCTCCCCCCGCACGCAGACATGCCGCGATCGTCACTCAGGCCCACAGCGCTCCTGACTTTCCCCCTTGCCTTTTCCTTTTGTCCGGAACTGGGCACAGAGTCAGCAACTTCCTAAAAAGTCCGGGTCAGACGACTTTCATCATCATCATCATTTTTCGAGCCATTAAAATATACCAGTGTTTTAACCTCCTTCCCCAGCAACCGCGAGTAAAACTGATGAGGACTAGGAACAGAGAAACGTTCACCTTTAGCCCAGACGCTGACGAGTAGCCCGCGTGGTTCTGGTGAGAATCCAATACGTGCTGGGTGCTAAGTTCTTAAGATTTTTTTTAGAATTATGTTTTATTTATTTGAGAGAGAGAGTGAATGAGAGAGAGCACGAGCGGGGGTGGGGGGGAGCAGCAGGCAGAGGCAGAGGGAGAAGCAGGCTCCCCACTGAGCAGGGAGCCTGACATGGGGCTCGATCCCAGGACCCTGAGATCATGACCTGAGCCGAAGGCAGACGCTTAACGACTGAGCCACCCAGGCGCCCAAGATATTATTTATTTATTTGACAGAGAGAGACATAGAGAGAGAGGGAACACAAGCAGGGGGAGGGGGAGAGGGAGAAGCAGGCTCCCCACTGAGCAGGGAGCCTGACATGGGGCTCGATCCCAGGACCCTGGGATCATGACCTGAGCCGAAGGCAGACGCTTAACGACTGAGCCACCCAGGCGCCCAAGATATTATTTATTTATTTGACAGAGAGAGACATAGAGAGAGAGGGAACACAAGCAGGGGGAGGGGGAGAGGGAGAAGCAGGCTCCCCGCAGAGCAGGGAGCCTGACATGGGGCTCGATCCCAGGACCCTGGGACCATGACCTGAGCCGAGGGCAGCCGCCCAATTGACCGAGCCACCCAAGCGCCCCTGGGTGCTAAGTTCTTACAGGGTCTCACGCCTGCCTGTGCATCGCACCCACAGTTGCTACAGAAAGTAGTTTGCCAGTAGACATTCAAAGACACATTCATGATCGAACCCGCCCCGCACGTGTCCCGCCCCTCCCCCCTCCCCCCTCCCCCCTCCTCCTCCCTCCCCCCTCCCCGCTCCCCCGCCCGCCCCGAGCGCTAAGCTTGTCAGGCCAGCTTGACGAAGCCAAAGCTCAGCCCTTTCTGCCCCAAGGGTCCTGTCCCCGTGCTACTTAAATAAACTTGCTAAGTTGCAACCCTAAAACGTCTCAAGAATTCTTTTTGTCCATCATGCTTGACGATCTCGCAACAAACTGAGAACAGCATTTGTACGTTTTACGTAGGAGAAGACGGAAGCACAGGAAGGTGAAACGTCTGCCCACAGCTGCGCAGCTGGGAAGTTGCGGAGCCAGCTGTCACCATCCAAACCGCCTGTTCCTCAAGGTCCGAGACTCTGAAATCCAAAGTCTCCAGCCCTCCTTTAATCTGATTGCCTTAATGGCGGTGAAACAGGCTTTTTTCCTACGGGAATTCTCAGACGTTTAACGTCGTACGTGCGCGGAGACCCCGAGAGTGGGAGAGGGAGGTGACAGAAGTACCTCCTCTACTTACCCGACTGCTGGACCTCTTTTGCACTGAGCATCTCAAGGAACTTTCTCAGCTGAAATGTTGCAAAACTTTGCATGTAATATGCAATGCTGCTTTGTCTCTTTCAACTACTTTAAAAGAGTATATGAGTTATTTTCTCTCATTTAGAAAAATTTAAAAATTGAGGTAGTGAGAAACCTAGTAATTTGTCCAAGGCCAGAACCAGCGAATTTTGGAGCTGAAATTAGAACCTAGGTCCTCTGGCCATAATTTCAGGGTTTTTTGTTTTGTTTTGTTTAATTACAGAAGGAATATGTTCTCACTCTAGCAAATCAAACAGAGATGTACAAAGAAAGCCACATGCAGGGCTCCTGGGTGGCTCAACTGGTTGAGCGTTCGACTTCTTGATCTCAGCTTGGGTCCTGAAATCAAGCCTCCATGCTGAGCATGGAGCCTGCTTAAGATTCTCTCTTGCCCGCTCCCTCTGCTCCTCCCCATCCCCCACTCATGCTCTCTTTCTTTCTCTAAAATAATAATAATAACAATATAAATTTTTAAAAAGAAGAAGAAGAAAAAAGAAAGCCATACACAGCATTCCAATCTCATCTTCCTTGGGTAAAAAAACTGTTCTAGTTAGAATAGATTTGGCTGCAAGTGACAGCAAATCCAAAATAAGAATGGCTTAAAATATATAGAAGTCTATTTGCCCCTATATAAAAGCCCAAAGGTATGCGGTCCAGGGTTGTTCAGGGTCCTAGGCTCCTTCCAGCTCACTCTCATCCATCCCAAGGACAGGACCCTGATCTTCAGGACGCATAGCAGCTGTTTTTGAAGGAATGATCCCTGAAACTCTCACACAGAGATATTTCCACTTACATCTCATTGCCTGAACTTCATCACAGCTGCAAATGTAACAGGCCAGGCCAGGAAATAAGAGTTTTTATTCCGAGAGGCTACATGCCCAACTAAAAACTATTACATTATTACATTATTAACTCTAGTCACCATGCTGTACACCACTTCCCTAGAACTTATTTTATAATGGAAAGTTTATGCTCTGTGACCTCCTTAACCCTTTTTGTTCACCCCCAACTTCTACCTCTGGCTACCACCAGGCTGCTCTCTGTATCTATGAGCTTGGATTGTTTGTTTTTTAGATTCTACATATAAGTGACCTCCATGTTGTCACAAATGGCAAGATTTAATTCTTTTCTATGGCAAACTAATATTCCATTACACACACACACACACACACAATCTTCTTTATCCTTTCATCCATCAATGGGGACTTAGGTTGTTTTCCTGCCTTGGTTATTGGGAATAACACTGCAATGAACATGAAGGTGCATACATCTTTTCGAGTTAAGTGTTTTTGTTTTCTTTGGATAAATACCCAGAATGAATTGCTAGATGATATTGTAGTTCTATTTTTTTTTTAAGATTTTATTTATTTATTTGAGGGAGAGAGAGAGAGAGAGCATGAGTGGAGGGGGGTGGCAGGCAGAGGGAGAAGCAGGCTCCCCGCTGAGCAGGAAACCCTCGTGGGGCTGGATCCCAGGACCCTGAGATCATGACCGGAGCTGAAGGCAGACGCTTAACCAACTGAGCCCCCCGGGCGCCCCTGTAGTTCTATTTTTAATTTTTTGAGGAACCTCCACAGTGGCTGTACCAATTTACATTCCCACCAGCACTGCAAGTGCACGAAGAGGTTCCCTTTCCTCCACATGCTCACTAGCACTTGTTATCTCTTGTCTTCGTGATGATGGTCATTCTACCAGGTGCGAAGTCATATTTTATTGTGGTTTTGATTTGCATTTCTCTGATGATCTGTGATGTTGAGCATCATTTCATATGCCTGATGGCCATCTGTATATCTTTTTTGGAAAAATGTCTGTTCTCAGATCCTCTGCCCGTTCTTTAATTCGAATGTTTGGTTTTTTGCTATTGAGTTGTATGAGTTCTTTATATATTTTGAATATTAACCCCTTGTCAGGTATATGATTTGCAAATATTTTCTCCCATTCGATAGGTTGCCTTTTCATTTTGTTGATGATTTCCTTTGTTGTGCAGAAGCTTTGGTCTGCTGTATTCCCACTTGTTTATTTTTGCTTTTCTTGCCTTTGCTTTTGGAATCAGATCCAAAAAGTTATCACCAACCTTGATGTTAAGGAGTTTACCATTTATGTTTTCTTCTGGGAGTTTCACAGTTTCAGGTTGGCTAAATAACTGTCCTTGTTATGTATTCTTCCAAATTGTTAGGTCTTCTTGTACTATACACATTACTCTGCAACTTGCCTTTTTCATTTAACATATCTATGAGAGATCAGAGTCCTTAGTTGAAAGAAACACAGACTAACTCTGGCCAATTCAGAAGAAAAGTAGCTTATTAAAGGACATTGTGTAGCTCATACATTTTCTGGGAAAGTTGGAGGATTAGACTTGAAGTTACTAGATTTTTTTTTTTTAAGATTTTATTTATTTATTTGACAGAGAGAGACACAGCGAAAGAGGGAACACAAGCAGGGGGAGTGGGAGAGGGAGAAGCAGGCTTTCCACGGAGCAGGGGGCCCGATGTGGGGCTCAATCCCAGGACCCTGGCTGGGATCATGACCTGAGCCCAGGGCAGATGCTTAACGACTGAGCCACTCAGGCGCCCCTTGAAGTTACTAGATTTTAAATCATTCCTCATCATCCTGCAAAATTGGTCCCCGGAACTGCCCCTGTCACTGGGCACCCCACTGCGGCTTGCATGTGTGACTCGCCGGTGCGCTCCCGGCTGGCTCCGTGCACACATGGGCTGTGCAGTTGCCCACGGCCCTGCACTTACAAAGGCCGTGCTCTTGGCTTCATATTCTGCTGTTTCCATCTTGAAATTCCCAATACTGTTTGAACAAGGGGCCCCGCATTTTCATTTCGCACTGGGCCCTACAAGTCAGGCGGTCAGTCCTGGTGCTGGACATCGGGTGCTGCTATCAGGGCCACTGTTGCTATGACTCTAGAAACTGGATGAAGGGGCGCCTGAGTGGCTCAGTTGGTTAAGCGACTGCCTTCGGCTCAGGTCATGATCCCGGAGTCCCGGGATCGAGTCCCGCATCGGGCTCCCTGCTCAGCGAGGAGCCTGCTTCTCCCTCTGACCCTCCCCCTCTCATGTACTCTCTCTCATTCTCGCTCTCTCAAATAAGTAAATAAATCTTTAAAAAAAAAAATAGAAACTGGATGAAGTTGTCCCTGTGGCCATTGACCCTCAACCAAGACTCATTCACCATCCTCCCTGCCACTCTCCCTCACCTGTTCCCAGTTCAAGATGTGGGACCACAGCATCTAGACTGCAGATTTTCCAGCTGCAATGGGAGCTAGAAAAATGAATAATATTTTTTGGTGGGAGGAAACTGCATCCTCTAAGGCGGACGTGGGGGGTAGTCCCCCAAATACAGGAAGTAGGTTCAGAGGCTCAAGAGCCAAATGGAAGCACAGATGCTCAACAGGGTAGAACCACGAGTGTATATAGATTCGTCTCATTCTTTGGCATAACTGTCCACTACTCTATCGTGGAGACGCACTATAACTTAGTCATCACCCTGCTGATGGGCATTCACGGTATTTCCACTTTTTTGCTACCACAGTGTTGTAACAGACGTCGTTATACATTTGTCCTTCTGTACTTGGGATTTGATTTCAGGAAGCTAGATTCTTAAGAGTGGGGTAGCTGGACAAAAGTGAGTATGTATGTCTCTGTTTAGTATTTACTGCCAGATCACTTTTTAAAAAATATAGTAATTTACAGTCCCACCAGCAACATACAAAAGTGCCTTTTTCTTCCATCCTTTCTATCACTCTTTTCATTTTATCAGCCTGATGAGTGAAAAATATCTCAGTATTCTTTTCATTTCTGGTCTCTTGACTACTAGCACCTTTTCATGTGTTTATTAGCTACATGGAATTCCTTTTTTATAGATTACCTAGTCATATCCTTTCCTCATTTTTCTTTTGTTTTCTTCCTTTTTCTTATCAATTTATAGGTACTCTTTGTGTATTAGAGATACTCTTTATCAGTCATACATGTTAGATTATTTCTCAGAGCACGTTTCTAGTTTTTTTCCCCATGGTATGCTATCTTTTTTTTTTTTTTTTTGGCAGAGAGAAACACAGCGAGAGAGGGAACACAAGCAGGGGGAGTGGGAGAGGGAGAAGCAGGCTTCCTGCTGAGCAGGGAGCCCGATGCGGGGCTCGATCCCAGGACGCTGGGATCATGACCTGAGCCGAAGGCAGACGCTTAACGACTGAGCCACCCAGGTGCCCCGGTATGCTATCTTTTGTCTTAATTTTTTTTAAAAGGTAGTTAAATGTCTTTTCCTTTATGACTTCTCATTTTATTATTCTTTTTTTTTTTTAAGATTTTATTTATTTATTTGAGAGAGAGAATGAGATAGAGAGAGCATGAGAGGGGGGAGGGTCAGAGGGAGAAGCAGGCTCCTCGCTGAGCAGGGAGCCCAACGTGGGACTCGATCCCGGGACTCCAGGATCATGACCTGAGCCGAAGGCAGTCACTCAACCGACTGAGCCACCCAGGCGCCCCATCATTTTATTATTCTTGCTTAAGAAAGTTTCATCATACATTTCTGTGTTGATTGTTACAATAAGCATATATTTCCTTTGTAAAAAAAACATACTTTTTTAAAAAGAAAAAAAAATTTAAAGACCACAAAAGAGTATGCTGAAGACCTGTATTCTTAGGTCCAAATCTATTACCAACTAGTTATAACCTTGGGCGAGTCACCAAGCCTCTGCGTATCTCCTTGTCTTAGTTTTACAAGTGGGGGATAATAGCACCCACCCTGCTGACTTCACAGAGTCCCCATAAAGATAAAATCAGATTTTAAAAAAGGAAAGGTTTGAAAAGTATAAATATGGGTTATAAAAATATAAGGTATTGGGGTGCCTGGTTGGCTCAGTCTATGGAGTGTGCAACTCTTGATCTCAGGGTCATGAGTTCAAGCCCCATGTGGGGTGTGGAGATTACTTAAATAAAACTTAAAAAAATAAAAATATAAGCTTTTAATGGGGCGCCTGGGTGGCTCTGTCGTTAAGCATCTGCCTTCGGCTCAGGTCAGGATCCCAGCATCCTGGGATCGAGCCCCATGTCGGGGTCCCTGCTCAGCAGGAAGGCTGCTTCTCCCTCTCCAGCTTCCCCGCTGCTTGTGTTCCCTCTCTCACTGTCTTCCTCTGTCAAGGAAATAAATAAAATCTTAAAAAAAATAAGGTATTTTTATTATCATGTATTTTCCCTCTTTACTTGAAAGGAAATTTGATGACTAAAAAGACCACTAGATTAGGAAGTCATGTTCCATCTTATGCCAATTACTAAGCGGTGTGCTTCTGAGCAGCTCAGTTAGCTTCTGCAAGATTCACTTTCCTCGTCCTTAAAATAAAAGAGTTGGTCTCTAACTTTCCTTCCAGCTTTAAGCATCTGAAAATATTACAGCGAAATTTCTAACAAGAAAGTTATGTGAATTTTTTTGTATTAAAGGTATATTCTTGGGACGCCTGGGTGGCTCAGTCGGTTAAGCGTCTGCCTGCCTTTGGCTCAGGTCATGATCCCAGGGTCCTGGGATTGAGTCCCACATCGGGCTCCTTGCTCAGCGGGGAGCCTGCTTCTCCCTCTGCCTGCCTCTGTCTCTCTCTCTCTGATAAATAAACAAAATCTTAAAAAAAAAAAAAAGGTATATTCTTAGGATCAAGTGTTTAACGATGTATCTAAAAGATACGTAAAAGGAGAATGGGTTGGCAGAGGACAACTGTGCATGCATGGACACTCGTTAGGAGTCGTCTGCAGTAGTTTGGGTGAGGGATGATGGTGGACTGAAACAGGATGAGAGCAAAGGAAACAAGTGAATTAGGCTTAAAAGTCTCACCTGATCATTTGGTCCACCTTGAGGTGTTAAGTCACAGCAAGCACTGATATGATGGATAGATACAGGTACAAAAGGTTTAGAGCAAAACCAAAATTAATCTATTTCCCCTCCTGATCCAAATGTGTTCTCCAATTTTATTTCTTAATACCAAGGCTCTTTCTAGTGCAGTCTAATATTTTGACATAAGTAGTGGCTCACGATTTACTCTTTGTACTCAAATATGCGGGATGGGGGGAGGTAGCATATTTTATAACTGATCTAACTTTGTTCCTAAGCCTCTGTCCCACAAGATGGGGAGAAATAGGGGAAATTGTAACTGTCCAATTTAAGATCTCTCAGTTTCTTCTTGTTTTTCATAGTAGTGGTGATTGTGTCTCCAAAGAGACCACATCAGTATCTCCCATCCCATAAGCTCTTTTGCAGTGTGACCCCAAGCATCTACCCTTCAAGAGTTGGAGTCTGTTTCCTTTCCCTTTGAATTCTTGTTCCCTTTCCCTGTGACTTGTTTCGACCTATAGAATGGGATGGAAGCACTAATATGTAGCTTCTGGGGTACAAGCCTTAACAGATCTGTGGCTTCTGTCTGCCTTGGTTGGAATGTTTCTTCTTGGAAGTCAGTTGCCTGTAAGAACTCCAGTCACCTTGCCAGAGACAGAGGCCATGGTGGAGAGAAGCCTAAAGCTATCTTGAATGTTCCAGCTCAAGCCAAGCTCCCATCAGAATAGCCCAGCTGAGCCCCAGCCAATCAAAAGAACCATGAGAAATAGTAAATTATTTTAAGCCACTAAACTTTGAAGTGGTTATATAGAAATAGATAACCAAAACATAGTGTTTTGGGGTTAACTCAGTCCCTCTTGGTAAATATTTGGTCTCTCGTCACTCCTCTTAATTTTTCATGAAGGTTGTAGCATGATATTCCACACCACCTGCCCTTTTTTTTTTCCTCCGAAAGATTTTATTTATTCATTTGAGAGAGAGAGAGCATGAGTTGGGGGGTGGGGCACAGAGTGTGAGAAGCAACTCCCTGCTGAGCAGGAAGCCCAATGTGGGGCAGGATTCCAGAACCTTGGGGGTCACGACCTGAGCCGGAGGCAGATGCCTGAGCCCCCCAGGCACCCCACCACATGCTCTTCTTAAATGTGATGTTGACACTCCTCCCATTGAGTGGTGGAGTCTATATTCTCTCTTGTATTAGGGTGGGCCTCTGACTAAGGTGTAAGTGATACAGAGTTTAAAAAAAAAAGATGATCTCCTCTGCTTGATGCTCTTGGGATGCTCTCTCTTGGAACCCAGCCACCCTGATGTGAGGAAGCAGACCCTATGGAGAGGCCACGTGTAAGTGTTCCCACTGGAATGCAGCCAACAGCCAGCCTAACCTCCCAGCATGTGAATGAGTGACTCCAGGTAATGCCAGCACCAGCCTGTTAAGTCACCGCTAGGCTCTGTCTTCCCGCTCAAGTCCCAGAGATTTTGGAACAGAAACTGTCCCCCCTCGACTCTTTCACAGTTCTTTTTTTGTTTTTTAAGATTTTATTTATTTATTTGACAGAGAGATAGAGAGCACAAGTAGGCAGAGTGGCAGGCAAAGAGGGAGAAGCAGACTCCCCGCTGAGCAGGGAGCCCGATGCAGGGCTCAATGCGGGGCTCGATCCCAGGACTCTGCGATCATGACCTGAGCCGAAGGCAGACACTTAACCGACTGAGCCACCCAGGCGCCCCTACTCTTTCCCAATTCTTGACCCTGGAGTGGTTTGTTACACAGCAGTAATCAGAACATTCCGTCAAGGTGGCGTCTAGGTGAATGAGGAACTGTCATGGTAGCAGAGAAAGGCAGACAACCTCAGCTCCCTGTGGCTGGCCTCGGGGACCTTACTGCTCTTGGCTGTGTTGGCCTTGTCCCTGGGGACTTTCTGCTGAGTTGCAGCTGTTCTGCTGGGCCTTTTGGAGTCTCATCCTGACAGTAACTAATTCACCCATTTTCCTCTAGTTGCAAAGTCCCTGCCCAACCAGCTGCTCTGTCTCATTTCCTTGTTTACAAAAGACGTTTGTTCTTATCTAGGTGTCTTCCTGTGGAAGGAGATAGGAGTCCAGTCTTCAGAAGCCATTCTTCTCTTCCTCCCCCCAAAACTCCCACTGTGGCTGGATTAGCTGGATAGCTGGGTGTTTTTTAATCCATTTCCTCAGGAGCAGGAGGACCTGATTCCTTCCAGCACCGGCCCCACCGCAGGGTTTCACGGGAATATTTGGGCATGTCCTGCAAGGGGTGTAGGAAGGAGCAGCAGCATGCATTGCTGGCACCCCGACCTCAGTCTCCTGCAGGTTTCCCCGCCGCCTCACCTTGTAGTCAGAAGGGGCGAGCCACCTCTTCCAGCGCAGGGCAGGGGCTCACATTCATTCCCTTGTCTGACTTGGACCTCACAGCTGCCCTCTCCAGGGACCCCAAGACAAAGTGCATTATTTGTAGGGCTGATCTCTCCTGAAGCTCCAATTTAAAAAGGGATTTTTGGACAATCAGTATAAATGACCAGAGTTTGGATCTTGCCCATGCATCGCTAGAATGGACCTCCTGCATGTCCCTTTACAACTTTATTATTTCTTCATCTGTTGCATTTTGATGGTGATTATCTCCTAAGATTGTTAAAATGATTAAATGACTTTGTAAATCACTTAGTCTGATACAAGGTAAATGTAAAACAAAAATTAGTCACTATGATTAAAAAATGTATATTAGCAAATTCAAGACTCTGCAAGCTGTTTAGAGAACTGCTGCACTCTCCTAAACCAGACTTTCCCCCGTTGCTCCGTCCATAGAATCCTTTTAAATAGCACACCTATATCAGAGGGATCAGGGCGGTTTAGGGTGGAGACGGAGGAGCCGAGCGAACGGGACCGGGCGGGACACGACCACGCAGGAGTGCCGGGTGTCCAGGTCTGTGGACCGCCACTCCCCTCGGGACGGGCCGGGTCCCTCCCGGCGCCTGGGCCTGAGCCACGGACGCCTGCAGAGGCAGCGGGGCTGCGGACTGGGACCTGCCCCTTCTCCCCATCCCAGCCGCGACAGCCGGCTCTGCTCTGCTTCCCTTCCGCGGCGTGTTGCCCGTTTCGCGTCACCCTGCTCTCACTGCCGGGAACCGACACCAGCCCTTCCCCACCTTCCGGTCGTGACTCAGCCTCACTGACGGGAAGCCTACCGACCCGCGGGGGCGGGCACCCGAGGGGGAGCGGGGGTGTCCGCGGGCGGCAGGCGGGCGGGGCACGGGCGTGACCGGGGGCGGCGGGGCGGGGGCGGGCGTCCGCCGGAGGGAGGCGGGCCGGATGTGACGAGCGGCGAGGGAGGCGGGACATCCGTGATGGGAGGCGGGGCCGGATGTGACGAGAGGCGAGGGAGGCGGGACATCCGCGGTGGGAGGCGGGGCCGGACGTGACAGGGGTGGGGAAACGGGGGCGTCCGAGGGCGGGGACGTCCCCGGGCTCCGGTCGTTGGGCCCGCTCGAGCTTCCGGGGAGCCCTGGGCTCGCTTTTCTCGGAGCGTCTCTGCTCGGATTTGGGTTTTCCGGGATGTTTGGTTGGGCTGGCGAGGTTGGCTGATGTGCAGGGTCGATGTCCCAGGGACGACTCTCTTCCGTGTCCCTGGGTGTGACTCGCGCGCCAAAGGGGTCAGGGACCAGGCGTAGCTTGGAAGGCCCCGGGAGGAGGAAGGCGAAATCCCCGTGTGACGAATTAATTTTGGGGAAATGAGCGTTAACGTGTCCCTGTTTATCTTTGTAATGAAAATTTACCCATAATCTCGCCTTTACCTGACTAGGCTGCTCATTTTCCATGGTACCTCATGTCTTTTTAATCATACTTGACGTTTATATTGCACTGACCTTTAGTCTATTTTTATTTTAAAAACATTTGACATTTTTTGGTAGATAATATGTGAACGTAATAAAGACAATTCAACCATTAACATATAGGCAAGGAAAAGTAAGTCTCCTTTCTGGCTCTGCCCTCAGTTCCCCATTCTCTCAGAAGCACCCACAGCTACGTTTCTTGTAGGTACTTCATGGATAATTTATACATGTGGCTATTTATATGTGCATATGATATGGTTTGAAGTAGGGTTTGGGAGCCAGCGGCCAAGAAAGAATTCTTGAGACAGTTTTGGTGCAAAAATTTGGTTTTATTACAGCACAGGGGCAGGAGTCTAGGGCAGAAAGAGCTATGCTGGGATTGTGAGAAGCAATTGATTTTCTATTTTGGAGTTGGGGGAGGTAAAGACAAGGGGAAGTGTCAAAAGAATTTCTCATATGTTAAAGAAAACTCAGCATCCTGGAGGCTGGCTATTGTCAAGCTAAGGTGGTTTTTCTCTGTAGCAAGGCATTAACAAGTTTGGGAGTTCCTGGGGCAACGTTATCCTCTGCCGGTCTCAAGTATTTGTCAATGTTATAAGGAAATGTAATTTTATCTACATTTCTTTTGCCTTTGTTCTCCACATCACCTACATCTATTTTCTCCACTTTTCCTTACCCAAACACCACACATTCTACACACTGCTCTGCGCCCAAGTCTTTTTCAATTAACATAACTTTGAGCCCCTGAATGAGTCCAGAAGTGAGGCGCTATGCAGGATGCTATGGTTGGGCTTTAAGGTACTTCCAGCTTTTTGGCAATTTCGGCAGAAGGCCCAACTATGGGAATTACAGATGCATTTCTGGCCTTTACCATGCACTGGCTGTTTCCAAACACAGGGGAAAAGTTTGTCTAGTCTTCTAACTCAAGTTGGGCAGGATCTTGATGCCTGAGACTCCTCACTCAGCCAGATGGAGCCCATTTCCCCAGCAGTGGGCGAAGCTCTTGCCTGCAGTACCGAAACTAGAGGAGAATTACTGGCTTGTGTAGCCTCTTTGAAAGCAAAGGCTGCTCTGGGGCCCTGAGGCCTCCACCCAGCCAGACCTGAAGGAATTGACAAAAATTCTTGGTTTTGTCACAAAAACGAATTCAAGGACAGACACGCAGCACAGTAGATGGGTAACAGAAGCAGGAAAGTTTATTAAGGCAAAAGTACATTCTCGAAGATAGGAGAACAGGGAAGCTCAAGAGAGCGAGCTGCATGCCCTGGTGGTTGGGTTTCTATCTTTTATTAGCAGTTGTTAACTAGGGGGCAGAATATTTATTACTTGGGGTGGGAAGCAGGGTTTCGCCCTTTTTCTTCCTTATTTTATCAGGGGTTTCCTGTCACGGCATCTGCCATCTTGGGCCTGTCTGGTTTGATCCGGCTTCTTGAGGAGGGCTGCCAGGACAGGCCTCTGACCTTCCCAGTAGCTGGCCTGGACTTCCTCGCTGCTGGCTTCTGGGTCTCTTGTTAGAACAGAACTAACTGCCTACGCTAACATGCAGACTACTCCTTTCAGGGCCCCAAACACGTGTGACCCAGCCATTTTCTTATTTCTTAGGCAAATCTCACTGATTCTATCCTGAAACGCTTCAGAAGGCTCATCATACTTTCCTGGGACCTGGGGTGACAGCAGCCTGGGTCCTGCGTCACAGCAGAGAAGGGAGTAGGGCGAGAAGACCACTGAGCTTCCTGCAAGTTACCTTACAGCTTCCATAGGAAGCCGTGGACTTGTTTGCCCTCGGAAGCAAAGTCTGTCTCCCGTCCCTGGATTTCCCATTTGTGTCCGACCAAGGATCAGACTTTGGAAGATCCTGGCTGGTCTGGGTGGTACAGGCCTGCCACCCTACTAATTCTTTGTACTCTTCATAAAGCCCTGAAATCTTCTGAGCAACAGGGAAGGGCTCTTTTCACGGTCCACAAAGCTCTGAGGAATTTGCCAACGCTTCTCTTCCTCAACTGGCCCAGCTTTCTGGCATCTACTCAGAAAGGAGCTAGGGGAATGGGTAACCAAGGAATGCTAGAGTAGTTGGTCTGGAACAAGGGTGAGGGAGAGCCATCAATCACTTTGGGCTCCAGATAGAGACAAAAGCAGGGTCACCAGAGGAACTGTAGTTATTCTTTCCTCGCTGCTATTTGGCTGTAGTGTCTCTTTCTCAGATGCATTCTCTGCCCTGTTGTGCGACGCAGGGAAATGCATTTCCCCAGCCTTCCAGCTCTCAGCAAAGCGAAAGCCAAAACTTCTAGTGTGTCTTACAAGGCACTCTACTGCCCTCTAGCTCTCTCTGATCCAGTCGCAGGGGCCTTTTTGCTATTTCTGGAATACAACAGCTCCTGCCATGGGACCTTTGCACTTGCTGCCCCTTGCTGCTGAGTGCCCAGATATCTACAGGGCTAGTTTCCTACTTCTTTCGGATTTTAACTCAAAAATCACTTTCTCAGGGGCCCTTCTTTGGCCGTGCTATCTAAAACTTCCTATACACGCGCCCCCCACATGCACGCACACCACCAAACATTTCATATCCTGCTGTTCTCTCTTTCCCCTTAGTACGTATCATCACGGAATACACTATGTATTTTATCTTGTTATTGTCTGTCTCACCCACTAGAATGTAAAGTCCACGCGGCAGGGATTTGTTTTGTCTCTCTTTTTGTCATGACCTAATCCCCAGAGGTCAGAACAGTACCTGGCATTTAGGCTCTCTCTAAATATGTGTTTAATAGAGAATGTATGATGGCATTGTTTCTGATAGCAGGGTGTGGTATCCTGACAGCCTGGTATCCATCATAGGGGAAAGAAAAGTAAAGTGGGCGGATGCTTACTATAAAATTATTTACAGCAGTTAGAAACAAAGGACTAAATGTGCAGACAACAACATGAGTAGACCATGAAGGCACAGTGCCAAGTGCAAAAATTACACACGGAACAGCTGCACATTTTACAAGGATACATACACACACATCCAGGACACATATCAAACACATTAGCTGGGGGTGGGAGTAGGGAATAGGGATAAAAGAAAAGAAATTAAGACCCCCCAAAATATTTTGTACTCATCCAGGTGGATAGAGGACAATGAATTGAGATTAACACTGTACGTGAGGTCCACCTAAAAATTATTTAATGTTGTGAGTATATATTTTGTTTTATACAAACCTTTTTTTTAAAAAGATTTCTTAAAATTAAAAACAATTTTTTTAAGTAATCTCTACTCCCAATGTGGGGCTCAAACTCACAACTTCAAGATCAAGAGTCCCATGCTCTACCAACGGAGCCAGCCGGGCGCCCCTGGTACAAAGTTTTTAATAAAAAACTTAAAAATATATATTTATATGAGTATCCAGAACAGCCTTCAAATATGTGTTTTTTTTTTTTTTTTTTTTTTTCTGAGAAATACTAAAGCAGGGGCGCCTGGGTGGCTCAGTCATTAAGCGTCTGCCTTCGGCTCAGATCATGATCCCAGGGTCCTGGGTTCGAGCCCCGCATTGGGCTCCCTGCTCGGCGGAGAGCCTGCTTCTCCCTCTCCCACTCCCCCTGCTTGTGTTCTCTCTCTCGCTGTGTCTCTCTCTGTCAAAGAAATAAATAAAATCTTTAAAAAAAAAGAAATACTAAAGCAATTTTTAACAGCTATGTTAAGGCATGCTTGACAGGCAAGTGTATGTATTTAAAATGTACAAGTTGTTACGTTTTGACACATGTATTGACCTATGAAGCCATCTTTCAACTCCAGGGCTGACTTGCCCATTAAGCAACATAGTCAGACACCTATGAAAATGCTTTAGTTTATTGTAAATTTAAAAATGCTTTAATTCTTAAAAAACGCTTTTAAATTCAAAGAAAATAATGAATTTTTATGTTAAAGAAAATATTTTTACATATTACTATTCATCCTTATACCAACACATTTGTAAAATATTTTGATATTGATATATTTTTAAAGGCTTTTAATATTTAAAAATATATATAGATATATTTTAAGATTTTATTTATTTATTTGACAGAGAGAGACACAGCAAGAGAGGGAACACAAGCAGGGGGAGAGGGAGAAGCAGGCTTCCCACGGAGCAGGGAGCCCAATGCGGGGCTCGATGCGGGGCTCGATCCCAGGACCCTGGGATCATGACCCGAGCTGAAGGCAGACGCTTAACGACTGAGCCACACAGGCGCCCCTAAAAATATATTCTTATGAAGGAAGTGGCCCATGAAGGTCAAAGTGCCTATGATCAATGACAATCATAACACAGCTGGCCACAATTAAGATAATGAACATATTCACCACCACCCCCCTCCCTTAAAATTTCTTTGGGCCCCTTTTTAATTCTTATCACCTGCCATTCTCCTCCCACT